GAGCGGGAGGAAAACGTCAATCAGCATAAGTGCTCGAAGGCAGCGTAGAGATCGTAAACAAATGCGGGGGAAGCGCGGTGGGCTAAGAGCTAAGCTAAAGCTAACACCACACCGGCTCTCGTTACCCAGCATCTTTCTTGCCAATGTACGGTCACTGGTGAACAAAATGGATGAGATTCGACTGCGCATCAACCACAGCAAAAGATTATGGAACTGTAACGTCATGATTTTCACAGAAACATGGCTAAACTGCGGGATACCAGACAACGCTGTATCGCTAACGGAGCACCACTCATTCCGAGCAGACAGAAAATCGGATGACTCCGGTAAGACCAGAGGCAAAGGATTATGCCTTTATATTAACAAAGCTTGGTGCACAAACTTTCTAACCTGGAATTTCTAATGGTTAAATGTAGACCGTATTATCTGCCACGGGAGTTCATATCCACCATTGTGACTGCTGCTTATATTCCTCCAGATGCTGATGCCAAGCTTGCTATGAACGGACTTTATGCAGCCATCAGCAAACAACAGACTGCTCACCCGGAAGCTACTTTTATTTTTTGCGGGGGATCACTCAAACTTAAAGTCAGGCCTCCCCAAATTCCCTCAAAACATTTTCTGCCACACAAGGGGAAACAAAACCTTAAAGGGTCACGAAACACCAAAACACATTTTTTGAGCTGTTGAAATTCGTATATGTGTCCCACACTGCTAAAAACACTATTAGGACACCTATATTTCACTAAAAAGTGTAAATTGGTTGTTTTTGCGTTATTTCAAGCAAATTTGTACTTCCGGTTTGAAACGAATTTTTGAAGCTGCGTCACGGCCATGAGATAATAGCGTGTATTACAGCATGCAGACTGGACGTCTGTACCAGAGTGGACCTTATTACGTCTCAGAGTGTGCTGCATTAATGCATGAGTAAGGCTTGGTTCAAACCAATCAGCGCGCTCTATTGTGCAACTTCATTAATATTCATTACTGTCACAGTGTTTAGACGACAGAGACGCCACGTTGGGTTGGCAAAACAAGCATGAAGTGTTGCTTTTATAGTTTGCTGCCGTTAAGTTTTGTTTTCATTTTCTCTCTGTGAGAGCGCAGCTGGAGTCACGCGTGGAATAACAGTGTACGCGATGCTCGACAACAACAACTTACGTGTCTAAGGAGGAACATTGTTTACCTGAGAGCTGTTCTCATCTGCAAACGCTGAGATTCGGATTCGCTTGTACTGTTCTCTTAATAAAGATGCGGCTCTATTTGCTGGTGATTGTCCTGTCTCTACAGATTTGGTAAGTGAGCGACCAATGCTCTTTGTTTATTCAGTTTGTTCGTATTGAACTAACTATTGCGCTATTAATATGTAAACATGTTACTGACTTGGGTCAATCAGATCACCTTTCTTTGTTCCTTACCCCTAAGTACACATCCCTCATCAACTGTGTGAAGCCATCAGTGAGGACCATCAGAGTGTGGCCAGCGGGGGTTGACTCCACAATCCAGGACAGGTTTCAACACACAGACTGGAGTATGTTTGCTTCCCAGGTCACACGTGGCTCTCACACAAACATTGACTGTTACACTTCCTCAGTTCTGGAATATATTATCACCACCATAGACAGTGTTACAACCCAGAAACAGATCACTGCATACCCGAATCAGAAACCATGGATGAACAAGGAGGTGCGACTCCTTGCTGCTGAAGGCACAAAACACTTCATTCAGATCAGGGGATGCACAGGCCTACAGCATTTCCAGTGCAAATCTGAAGAGGGGTATCAAAAAGGCCAAGCACTGTTACAAGCTAAGGTTAGAGGAGCACTTTTGCAACTCTGATCCTCATCGCATGTGGCAGGGCATCCAGGCCATCACCAACTACAAACCCAGCCAGTCCACACCCACAGACGTCTCCTTCCTGAACGAGTCAAATGACTTTTATGCCTGCTTTGAAAGAGACTGTAAAGAACCCTACACCAGGATCACTTCCTCAACCGACCACTCACCTATCACACTCACCTCCTCAGAAGTCTACACCGCACTGAGTCGGATCAATGTGCGTAAGGCTGCTTGACCAGACGGTATTCCTGGGGGCGTCCTCAAAGCATGTGCAGAACAGCTCGCTGTGGTATTCACAGACATTTTCAACCTGTCGCTGAACCTAGCAGCTGTGCCAACATGCTTTAAAACCACCTCTATTGTGCCAGTGCCTAAACACTCCAGCCCAACATGGCTAAAAGACTACCGTTCTGTAGCCCTCACACCCATCATCATGAAGTGCTTCGAGCAGTTGGTCCTGGCACATCTAAAAGACTCTCTGCCATCCACACTGGATCCACAGTTTGCTTACCGTGGCAACAGGAGCACAGAAGATGCAGTCTCCATAGCACTGCACTCTGTACTCAAACACCTGGACAATAAAAACACTTATGCATGGATGCTGTTTGTTGACTTCAGCTCAGGATTCAACACTGTCCAACCCTCCAAGTTAATGATCAAACTCATAGACCTGGATAACGACACGTCTCTCTGCAACATTCAACAGACCTCAGAATGTCAGATCAGGCCACATCTGCTCCACCACCGTCACACTCAACACTGGTCTACCACAGGGCTGTGTGTTGACCCCCTTCCTCTACTCCCTTTTTACCATCGACTGTAGGCCTGTGAACAGATCCAACACCATCATCAAATTTGCAGATGACACCACAGTGATTGGTCTAATCAGCAATAATGATGAGACTGCCTACAACAAGGAATTTCAGCATCTGGCCACTTGGTGCACAGACAATAATCTGCTTCTTAACACCAACAAGACCAAGGAGCTTATTGTGGACTTCAGGAAGGGACAAACAAGCTCACATGATCCCATCCACATCAATGGTATGGCAGTTGAGCCTGTCTCATCCTTCAAGTTCCTGGGGGCCCACATCTCATAGGACCTTTCCTGGACCACCAACACCTCCAACATGGTCAAAAACGCTCACCAGCGCCTATTCTTCTTAAGGCAACTTAAGAAGAACCAGCTTTCATCAGCCATCTTGGTGAACTTCTACCACTGCACAATAGAAAGCATCCTGACCAACTGTGTCACAGTCTGGTATGGAAGCTGCTCTGTTGCTGAGCGTAAGGCACTGCAGTGGGTGGTGAAAACAGCCCAACGCATCACAGGGACCACACTGCCAGCCATTGAGGACATCCAGAAGAAACACTGTCTGTGCCGAGCACGCAGTATTCTGAAGGACACCTTTTACCCCGCTTACAGACTGTTTTCACTCCTGCCTTCCGGCAGGTGCTTCAGGCTCCTCCGGACAAAAAGCAGTAGACTGAGGAGAAACAGCTTTTTCCCCAGAGTTGTCTCCCTCTTAAACCCTGCACCTCACTGACTCTTTTAGAAATATTAATTATAATAATGGAAAAGAACATCAAGCAGGTCTGCTGCTTTGGAGGGAGATTCTCCCTCCGAGCCTATTCTGCCCACAGGAAGAGTTTTAGGAGCCATGTCATGTGGTATTGAACACTCCGTTAAGAAAGCACATGGTTGCGGTGGTCGGTCCAAATGATAAACGGGACGGAAGCATCATCTAGCCAATGATGCTATTCCCCTAGAGCAAGACGGATGGCTTGTAGTTTGTGGTTGCCTACATAATAATTAAGTTCTGCATGGGAGAGAGGCAATGCAACGAAAACTACAAGGGTGAATCTTAAAAAAAATTAAAATATTTCTGTTCATTAGCCCATCCCTTTGTGGCCCCTAGTGGCATAGTCGCAAACTGCGGTCATACCTAAAACATGTTCTTACTCCTTGAGTGGCAGCAGTTCAAGGCGTGGCATTAATGCTCATTTTAAAGTGTCACCCACTATACAGCTGATAGTGAACAATAACAGAGAGGATAAAAACAGGTTGGTATACCGGCAAGATTCGAAGCAGGCAGAGAACATTCACAGACGATATAACAGGCAAAGGTGTCAAGAAATGGGAAAGGCAAAAGCAAAATGAAAGAACAATCGGTTATGACTGCTGGGCAAATTAAGACTTTACTCTGAACTGGTGAAAGAGTGGTGTTTATATGTGAGAGTGCTAATGTAAAACACCTGCCACTGCAATCAGTCCTGGGCAGAGAGGCTTATGGTGGATTGAGTCCAAATAATGCAGGTTAAAATTCGGGTAATAGCTCCTACTGGAGGTGCGCAAGGGAAGAGACCTGAGCTTCACTTACAACTATATCTAGTCAAATATTATGTACTATCATCATGGCAAAGATAAAAAAAATTATAAGAAATTAGTTTATTAAATTTATTATATTTAGAAATCTATTGAAAAAACGTCTTACTGTTGGGGGAAAATATGCAGGCGGTCTAATAATTCAGGGGGAAAAAAATGTCTGACTTCAACTGTATATATTTGGAAAAGAACAGTGATAAAAATTAGAGAGCACTATCAGATTCCTTCCAGTTATTGATGTTAATTGTGCCACCTGGTTGGGAATTTTCTCATTCTTTTAGGGTATGTACACGAGTGCAGCAAGTCGACAGCTGTACAGCTGTGCGACTCCCAGCTACAACTCAGGACACTGTTCATATTTTTGCTATGCCACAGAGCAGCATCTGTATTGTTTAGTTTTAAGTAACATGCGAATGTACGCATCAAGTGTGTTTTACTTTCCACTGTCATGTGCACAGCACTGGGCTGCATGGCACATCCGGTGTAAGACCCCCTTAAGAAGACTGAACCAAGGTCACAGCAGAGAAGTGTGAGACACTAACGACTGTGAGTGCAGATGTGTTGAAGTCATTGCATTTTTTTTTTTTTTTGTCATTCTTGTTACTTTTATATATTAAACACGCTGTATGTTTGCGGCTTCATCTTTGCTTCCTGTTCTATGACAGAGACACAAATCCAGGCAGAGTAAACATTCCAGTTTCAGGCCTCACTTCCCCAGGAAGCAACACTCGCATCCTGTGAAAGTTAGAGCGCAGAGGTAAAGACTTAAATACATGCTCCTCCCTCCAGCCATTCTTCAGTTTGTCCAACAGCAAAACACACATACTGTATGTGCACTGCTTAGAGTGCTCAGCCATGCAGGTGAAAAAACAGCTCACTCTCAGGGCAGGCACATTCCTCATCCTCTTTCTCTTCACCTGTAAGAACACCTTCCATTTATTTTCTCTCAATTTTGCTTTTTGATACCAAGGTTGCTTTGACCGTGTTGATTTATGTCTCATTTTTTTGTTTTTGTTTTATTTTTGCAAACAAATCCCTCTCTCGGACATTTGACATCATCAGCAGACAAAGCTAACACAGGTCTGTAAACCGCTCACTTCTCAGACATCTATCAATTTTGTAAATTTAAGAATGTTAGAATAATTGTCATTTATTGCATTAATGTTATGTGCTGTTTGTATTTTTTTAAACATGTCTGTATGTTGTCACAAGCCATTGTTATGCAAAGTAGTGGGAAGGGATTGAGAGCACATAAGAACATAAGTGGTGTGATATGGCACATCATTTTCTTTTAGAATGATGGTCTTGTATTTTACAGCCAAAAAGAATAAACTTGAATGTAATAATCTGCAAACTATTATAGGTGTAAAGCTATAGTTTACATACTGTTCAAGTTTTACATCCTATTATTAGCTTGACTTTGGCAGCTTGTATGGAATTGTCTGTTCATTTATTTAATCCTGCAGTAAATCCTGTTTATTTTAAGCATAGATTATTATAAACATAGAAAAAAAAGAATATATTTAATCTTTACTCATTTGCCTTACAAAGTTATGTGAAATAATTGGCATTTATGTTTATTATATTTATTTTCTAATTACTTTACAATTGTTCATCACTAAATGTATTCTTATTTATAGCAATTTTCCATTATTATTATATTTTATTATTATTCATTATAATAATATATCATGTAATATCATAATAAATAAAGGTAACAAACTATAGCACAGTCTAAAAATATAACATACAAAGCTGCTTAATAGAAGAAAAAATACCAAACATTCATATGATTTAGTTGTTATTTTATTAGCCATTTGTGGGTGCTGGGTGGGGACAGATATCTCTAAAATAGCTCTAATCCCAAGAGATGGAAGTCTCTAAATATGTTTAATTATTCTTCTTCCTGTACCAAAGTTTGTGTATACAGCACTGAGATTCCCACTGCACTGCTGATAAAAAAAAAGATAATAAAATGTTATTCCATTCCTCAAACTCTACCACAATCTGACTGCTTAAATTGCTTTTTACCCAGAGTTAAAAAGTGTCAATCTCATTTTGTCATTTTTCAATCTATACAGCAGAGGGAGAAATGGTTTCTTTGATGGTCTTCTTTAGAGATGATTATTGCATAAATTGGTTTTGATTTTCAATGTACCCAATCATAAAATCTTTGTGTATCACCAGTTCACCTACTGGACTGATTCTAAATGATCCATTTTAGATTTTTGATTACCTTTTCTCTTTTATTTAGCCTTTGTACATATGTTGTACAAATGTACACAAGTATATTGCAGTCATAAATCTTTCTTCTTTTTGGTAAAATGTATTTTCAAAATGTGATACGATGACGCAGTAGGCAGTGCTGTCACCTCCCAGCAAGAAGGTTGCTGGTTCAAGCGTCAGCTGAGTCAGTTGACATTTCTGTGTGGAGTTTGCATGTTCTCCCCGCGTTCACGTGGGTTTCCTCAGGGTGCTCTGGTTTCTCCGGTAAGCTATAATTGTCCATAGTGTATGTGTGTAAATGAGAGTGTATGTGTTTCCCAGTGATGGGTTGCAGCTGGAGGGGCATCTGCTGCGTAAAACATGTGCTGGATAAGTTGGTGGTTCATTTCACTGTGGCACCCTAAGATTAACAAAGGGAATAAGCTGAAAAGAAAATGAATGAATGAATAAATGAATGAATTTTCAAAATACATTAAAGTTTGTCAGTAAAAACACAAGGAATATGTTGCCAATTAAATATAAGTTTTCTGTTTCCCTTTGAATTTTAGCCAGTACTTGTTGATTTCTTGTAGTGTAGATCAATACAATATCTTACACAAGAAATATTATTTATTTAATTTCTCAACCTGCCACCATCTGACTGGTAAACTTGCTTTATTTTCCCCAGAGTTCATCATAAAAAGTGTAAATCTCTTTATTCAGCCGAGGAATGAAGTTCAAAGAGGTACAAATGTGTCACTGATATGCCAGGCAGAAGTCAGCCAAAGCCCAGGGTCCAATCCCAACTATGAATACATATTCTACAAAGATTATGAAATGCTACTTACAGAAAAGACCACCGCTACACACTGGTTCTACTCTATACCAGATGCCAGAGTCTTCCACTCTGGAAAATATGAATGTGCTGTTGTCATTGGGCATCAAAACAAGAAGAGTGGTTCCACAGACTTGACTGTTAAAGGTAGAGTAACACATCAGTTCAACGCCTAAAAGATCTTTCTCTCAATTCCTAATACCATGGCATGTGTCTGCAGGTCTTCTGACACCTGTTCTATCAGTGGATCAACAAAGATTGAAAGAAGGAGATAATGTTACTGCTGTCTGTACAGCAGAGGGAGAAATGGGTTCTTTGATGTTTTCGTTTAGAGATGGACCAGTTGAACTCTACAGGAAGTCAACCAATACTCAGAAAGTTGAGCAAAAGCTGGCCTTTGAGCACAAGAGGATGAGAACTGTGAACATGTTTTGCTACTATTCAATTAGTCTGGGTAGCAAAATAGAAATATCTAACAACAGTAATGTGATTGACATTGACATTCAAGGTAGGTCAATAAATGTTTTGTTATTAAACTGTAAAAATGTTACTTTATGAAAAATTGTGGACACAGAAAATTAAATATTGATCAACAAATGACTTCCTAATAATTAGCCCACATAAAATCCACTGTATTACTTTTAGCTGATTGTCTGAAGTAAAAATTAAAAATATATATTCATCAAACATATTAAATTGTGCTCAGCCAATTTATCAAACCAAATTGAAGTATATGGGCTTTGCCAGCAAACCTTGTAGCAAAGAAATGCGTGTAGAGCCGCTGGTCGGCACCACGTCTGGCGCATATTTAAATTACAGTTTCCAGTGCAACAACGGCGGAGATCCTACTAAACATCATATTCAGCGGATTTTCTTTCATAAACTTTATGGTGAGTACTGAGTTTTGTATTTATTAAACACTGCTTCAGTTTAACCATTAACCATTAAACTAGTCTCAGTCATTTCGACATAAAAACAAACAGCATGTACATTATGCTATTAAGTAATGCCTGCCCCCATCCGAAGCAATGTTGGACACAATAATTTTAATTAAGCACCTGTAATATTGACATCTAAGATATGTTCATGACCATATTTATCTCTTTGGGGAGAGTTACTATACCTATATACCTCACATAAAATGAAAAAATTCTTACTACAGCCACATGTGGTTTCAAACCACCAACTTTGTAAGTTTCTTTGTTCTGTAAAACACAAAAGAAGGTATTTTGAAGAAAGCCGAAAACCTCTAGCCATTGACTTCCATGCTATCTATTTTTCCTTCTTTGGAAGCCAATCGTTACAGGTTTCCAACTTTCTTTAGAATATCTTCTTTTGTGTTCAACAGGAGCAGAGGTGGGTAGTAACGAGTTACATTTAAATATGTGTATTTTTACTTTTACTCTAGTATATTATTAGAGAAAAGTCATTACTCTTACTTCGCTACATTTTGCGGCGTTCCTCATTACTGTCAAATGATAATAAAAATGATCCAAATGTTTTGTATGCAAATATCACGAGGCGCCGTATTAGAGAGGTTGTGTTGCGAGAGGTTGCTATAAAGACACGTCTCTCGCTTTCGGTTAGGGCACATGCTGCCACGTGCCTGTTTTTTTTCTTGAAAACATTTAAAATTACATTTTGTGACTCAACTAGAGTAGTATTTTTTTTAAATTTAGATTATAGGTGACATTTGTAAGTGTAGACTTAGTATTGACATTGCTATTTTATATTTTAACATACAGGGCAACTGGAAAACCACACAACTACAATGAAGATGGGAATTCTTGAAACAGTAAGAAACAGCAGCTTGATGAACTTTCAGACCCCTGGTAACTATGCTGAATGTCTGCTGGCCTGGAGTGTGTTTCCCAAAACACACACGTTAGCCAAATAAGGTCACAAGTTCCATCGTTACAAACATAGTTTGTTGATTTGCCATTTCCCAAATCTGTTGCTGCAATGAACATTAGCAAACTGCGTCGCAAAATTGAGCACTCGCAACTACAGCTCTGAAGCTGTCGTTAGAACGCTCTGGTTACTAAAGTAACCCTCCTCGGGGAACGGAAATGCTATCAGTGAATTTATTTAATTCACAAATGGGGAATTTCATTTCAGAAAGCCAATCGTCTGAAAGAGTATATAATGGGCCAATGAAATGCCAAATATATAGCATTTCCGTTCCCCTCCTCGGGGAACGAGGGTTACTTTAGTAACCAGAGCGTTCCTCTTTGGATGGGGAACTTCAATGCTATCAGTGAATTTATTTAATTCACGAATGGGGAAATGTCTGGAAAACGCCATAATGACTGCACCTTACCTTTGCCTGCGATGAGAGGATAGCCAGGCATAGCATGAGCGCTCCTGCATCAAAGAGAGGTGCACTCTTCCAACGTGATCCCTGGCCCTTACTTATCCCACTTCAAAAGAAGTTTTATGGATTTAGATATATTTTTTGGGAAGTTGCAAGCATCTAGATAATTCTAGGAAATACGACAGTACGTTGGGAAAGCGTGCAGTCCCGATAGGGAGGACGCTGCGGAGGCCATCTACCCAATTAGGGAGATATGATGGCAAAAAATACATATGGACTAGCCCTGAAAAGGGGGAGTACACATATAATAAGATGGTTAGTGGAGAGGGAAGACACGGGTCCGCCCGTGAGGGGGGACTGCACCGTGACTGAATAAGCATGTGGGATCGCCTAGTGGGGATCACGCATAGTGGGCACCTATACACAAAACGCGGGCTGACCAGCGGGCAGACCTACAACGTAGTGGGCCAGCAAGTGACTCCTCCGCTAAGTCAGTGCTGGGGGCCTCAGAGGAATCTGCAGGGCTCACCTGACGGGGAACTTTACTGACAGATAAAAAGGTGCATGTATCTCAGTGTTAGGGAGAATGGCACAGCAAGCGTGTTTCAACACCTTAACTGAATTGTTTCCTTAATCAACAAAGGTTACCTAATACCCTTGAGGAAACCGGCTCCACTCGCAGATTGTAAAACCTTGCAATTGTATTAGGTGTCGCCCAGCTCGCAGCTCTACAGATGTCTGTTAGAGAGGGGCCGCGTGCACGCGTCCAAGAGGATGCGATGCTCAGAGTGAAGTGCGCACACACTCTCGGGGGACATGGCTCGCCTTGGCTTTGATAAGCGAGAGAGATGGCATCCACTATCCAGTGGGCCAACTTTAGTTTCGATACGGCACTTCCCTGCTGCTGACCGCCATAACAGACAAAGAGCTGCTCAGATGATCTAAAGCTCTGAGTGCGGTCCAGATAAATACGCAAGACGCGAACTGGACAAAGTAATGAAAGGGGCTGGGTCTGCCTCCTCCGGGGGCAGCGCTTGCAGGCTCACTACCTGGTATTACCTCCCGGGCGGGGTCTCAGGAACGTGAGAGTAAGCCAGCCTGAATTACAGGCATGAGTCACTGACCGAAAAATGCCTCCAGGTCCCCGACCCTCTAATCGATATCAATGCGACCAGCAGAGCTGTCTTCAGGGACAGAAATCTTAAAGATACTGAGTCAAGAATTGAAGGGATTGACGCAGGCTTGTGAGAATGAGGGCGAGATCCTAAGAGGGCATGAGAGGGGGGTGGGGTGGATTAATTCGCCTAGCGCCTCTGAGGAACTGAATGATGAGGTTATGCGTTCCTACGGTGCTGCCAGCCACCGCATCATGAGAGCGGAGGGAGGGCCATCGCGAGGAGGGGGAGCTCTGACATCCAGGTCCGGTTGGGTCATAGGGGTGCAACCAGCAACCTGTTCCTCGTCCTCCCTGACCTTGCACAGTAACTGCGCGAGCAGGCTCACTGGGGCAAACGCGTATTTGCGCATGCCCCGAGGCCAGCTGTGAGCCAGTGCATCCGTGCTGAGAGAGCACTCGGTCAGGGAAAAGAACAACTGCCAATGAGCGATCTCGGAGGAAGCAAACAGAACGATCTGGGCTTCCCCGAATCGCGCCCATATCAGCTGAACAGACTTGGGGTGGCGTCTCCATTCTCCAGGACGTAAAGGCTGCAGTGAGAGCGCATCGGCTGCACGGTTGAGCTTGCCTTAAATGTGAATGGCACGCAGCGATTTCAGCCGCGGATGACTCCAGAGGAGCAGACGGCGGGCAAGCTGAGATATGCGGCGAGAGCGAATACCCCCCAAGCGATTGATACACGCCACCGCTGCCGTGCTGTCCATCCTGACCAGCAAGTGTTGCTGCTCCAGCACCGGAAAAAATGGTGGAGAGCGAGGAACACTGCCAACAGCTCCAGGCGATATGCCAATGCAACTAGGTTCCTTTCCACAGGCCCGCAGCTGCATGCCCGGAACGAACAGCCCCCCAGCCCATGCTGGAAGCATCTGTTGAAACAACAACATGACTGGACGCCTGTCCTAGAGGCACTCCGGCCTGTAGGAACGAGGGGTCATTTCAAGGGCTGAGGGCGCGGTGATACAGCGCAGTAGCAGTGACTCGGTGTGCGCGCATGTCATGCACGTCTGGGGACTCGATCGTAAAGCCAGTGCTGAAGTGGTCTTATATGGAGTAATCCGAGCGGCGTGAAGTGGCTGCGGATGCCATATGCCCCAGGAGCCTCTGAAATAATTTAAGTGGGATCACTATTTTGCTGTCGAGCTCTCTCAGACAGTTCAGCATCAGCTGAGTGCGCTCTCCGGAGAGGCGCACTGCCATAGTGACCGAGTCCAGCTCCAGCCCGAGAAAAGAGATCCTCTGCACGGGGGCGAGTTTGCTCTTTTCTCGGTTGACCTCAAACCCCAACAGGTGGAGGTTCCTGAGCACCTTGTCTCTGTGCATAATCAATTGCTCCGAGAGTGGGCTAAAATCAGCCAGTTGTCGAGATAATTGAGTATGCGGATGCCCGCGAGCCGAAGGGGCGCTAAGGCACCCTTTGTGAGCTTGGTGAGGACCCGCGGAGACAGAGAGAGCCCGAAAGGGCCAAGCTCGACCTTTAAGCGCAAACCGCAGAAACTGACGGTGGCGAGGAAGAATGGAGACATGGAAATACGCGTCCTTCAGGTCTATTGCTGCAAACCAATCCCGAGGACGAACGCACTGGAGGATGCGCTTCTGCGTGAGCATTCTGAACGGCAGCTTGTGCAGACAGCGGTTCAAAATGCGCAGATCTAGGATTGGCCGTGACCCACCGCTCTTTTTGGGCACAATGAAGTGCGGACTGTAAAACCTGCTCTCCATCTCTGCTGGAGGGACCGGCTCGATTGCATCCTTCGCTAGGAGGACAGCAATCTCCTCTCGCAAGACAAGGGGGGACAGGGGGCTGACCCTGGTGAATACACACCCGTGAACTTGGGGGAGCCATTTCGCAAACTGAATTGCATAGCCGAGTCTGATTGTGCGTATGAGCCACCGCCTAGGGCTGGCCGCGCTGACCAGGCAGGCAGAGCTCTTGCTAATAGACTCATCGCTACAATCGCTGACGTACCAGAGATTTACTCTCACTCCGCACTCAAACTCCGGAGGGGAGGCTCGAGGG